GTGTAATTCCGACACGTGAACAAAAATACAAAGTCATAGATGACTATTGGAGTTACAATTGTTACAATTGACCGAATCGTCCTGTCGGTAAAAATTCTTCAACTTGCATTATTTCGTTGACGATTTACACGAATTATTATCACCAATAATAATATTGGACGAGTGTGTAATTCCGACACGTGAACAAAAATACAAAGTCATAGATGACTATTGGAGTTACAATTGTTGCAATTGACCGAATCGTCGTGTCGGCAAAAATATTTTAACTATTTCGATTGATGAATTGCACGAATTATCACGTCTCGTGCAAAGTGATCTCACTGGCCAATATCAAACGTAGGGTGTAGCTCGACGCGCGAACGAAGATACGGAGTTATAATTGACCGAATCTAGAAAGTGGAGAGATTCGGGTTGGGAGAGGAGCGACGGGACGGGCCGTGGAAAAATGAGAAGAGGAACGAGGTCGGGCCATTCTTTTCTCAATGTCCTTTCCCCGACGTGCACACGGCAGTGCAAACTTTGCATCGCTGCTGGCCTCCCCTTCCGCGAACACGGGGTAACCATTAGTCCCGACGTGATCGTCCAGTAAAATGCCAAGTCCTTTCGCCATTTCTTTTTGTACCTTCGGAATCGAGCCGATTTCGAACTGAATGCGCCGGCACACCGTCGATAACGCTTTGAAACGAGCAAGCGGACGAAATTCAATTGGAACGAGGAACTTTTTAAAAGATGACCAGGAATTCACGTTAGCAAATAGTCTTTGCTACCTATCTTCTTCCTCTTTTTTTCTTTTCTTTTCTTTTCTCTTTTTCTTTTGTATCACGCGCCTCTGAAAGATTAAGAATCGAACGAGTGAATGGGGCAAATTGACGAAACGTATCGTCACATGAATGTTTCGTGATTTTCAAAGTGACTGACTCTAGAAGTTTTCGTTTGTTCTAAAGAAATGCGTCAAATGTTATTTGTGCTTTTGTCAAACGTTAGATGAACCGAGATATTTCATCGAGGACGATCGCTTCTGAAAATTCGATATCTATTTTTCTTCTTTTTTTCTTTTATTTGCAATTTTAAATGAAACGAGTCTCGTAGACGTGCGCGCTCACCTGTCCTGAAGTTGACGACAATGTCTATGAGGAATATCGTGTCGGAAAGGCAGTTGAAGGCTATCCACCTAGTGCTTAGGTCGTCATTGAAAAAACTAATGGCGACTGGCAGAATTATCAGATTGGCTACCAGCAGGAGGAGCATGCAGAGGTCCCAGTAGAATCTGTAATCAGACACGAAACCGACGTTATTAATAATTCGCAGAGGCATCGATTACTATCGCGAAACCCTCTATCGTTGCCACACAACGACGCTACCTTACGATAAATGACGATCGGCTGACGACGAAATTAACTTCTGGACAGGGAAATTCAACGAATCGCGGAGGAAGCCGCAGTAGAATATCCAGCAACGGTCAGACACACGACGCATACAGCACAAGTATTCATGTATTCCATCTGCGCCTCTTGTATAAAATGAACTCTATCTGGGATTCAACCGTTCTGAATACCTCGAAATCGCGTGCTCCCGACGAATCGTAATTCGATCTAACGTTCGACACGTGTGAAAAATTCTTTTTGGACATATACATGTTTCTTCTGTATATTTCTAAATGTATTTTATGTCTTTTATGTATATTTAGAAATATATATATTTCTTATGTATATTTTATGTCTTTTATATGTATTTAGAAATATATATATTTCTTATGAATATTTCTAAATGTATTTTATATTTTTTATGTATATTTATTATATTTATTCAATCTAACGTTCGACACGTGAGAAAAATTCTTTTTGGACATATACATATTTCTTCTGTATATTTCTAAATGTATTTTATGTCTTTTATGTATATTTAGAAATATATATATTTCTTATGAATATTTCTAAATTTTATATTTTTTATGTATATTTATTATATTTATTCAATCTAACGTTCGACACGTGAGAAAAATTCTTTTTGGAAATATACATATTTCTTACGTATATTTCTAAATGTATTTTATGTCTTTTATGTCTACCTAGAAATATACATATTTCTTATATATATTTATTATACTTATTCGATCTAACGTTCGACACGTATGAAAAATTCTTTTTGAAAATATACATATTTCTTACGTATATTTCTAAATATATTTTATGTCTTTTATGTCTACTTAGAAATATACATATTTCTTGTGTATATTTATTATATATATTTATTATACTTATTCGATCTAATGTTCGACACGTGTGAAAAATTCTTTTTGGAAATGTACATATTTCTTACGTATATTTCTAAATGTATTTTATGTCTTTTATGTATATTTAGAAATATACATATTTCTTACGTATATTTCTTAATGTATTTTACGTCTTTTACGTATATATAGAAATATACATGAAAAGAAAGAATGAAAGAGAACGAGTAACATGATAGCGATTTAAGTAACAGTTTCAAGACACGCATCTCGAGCGTATTACAAAAATTTCGCCTTAATTTTTAATCGTCGAGAGATTTCAACGTGTAATTCAACTATCTTAATTGAAAAGAGAGAGAGAGAGAGAGAGAGAGAGAGATCTCGATATCCCGTTCTTGTAAAAAAGCTTTCAAGTGTCCATCCCACTGGAATTAGTCGGTTTTCCTTTCATTCCCAGATTTCCCATCGCAGCGTCCCCTGAATCTTGCGACGAACCGCAGGGATTTGCAATCCGGTGGCAGCGTGTAACCTACTTATCACGAAAGGCTACTTCTTTTAAACCGGATTGTCTTTACGGCTCGAGACCAAAGCCAACCAGTTTTAATCGCGTCGGCCACGTGCTCCGTGCCGGAAATGCCGGCCACAGATTTTTTTATTCTCATTCTGTTTCATCGCGAAGAGTCCCGCCGGCTGCGACGAGTTCACATTCCCCGGATTCTTCCCGGGCGTCGTTCCCCTCGGCTAACGAGCGCTAAAAAGCAGAGGAAGAGGGAATATCGGTCGTAAAGCGGCAGGGAACTTCCGCCAGCACTAGAGAGCTTCTCTCACAAATATTGGCCGAGGGCCTCGCGTTTTATTACTGCACTTCGAATGTGCCGAGCCTTTACTCTCGCTTCACTCTGTTACTGAAACATCCTCGACGTGATTAAAATTTCATAAAGATTATTTCCCACGGGGGGGAGTGGCTTCTTGGCGTATGCTTTCGCCGCAGGTTAAAATCTGTTATACTTTTATTGCGTTTATGTTGCAACTGATACGATGCTCCTAAAATTTTAAATAACAGAAACGAAAACGATGATGGTCCATATAATGAGGACACAATTAATTCAGTATATAAACAAATGTGTAATGTAAATGTATAATGTATAAATGTATATAAAAATGTTATTGAGTTGAGTGAAAGACGGCTAGCGTAACTCTGGTAATATTGCATGTCATGAAGCAATTAAAGAAGAAAGACGTAGTGATATTTGTGTATTCAGTCGAAAGTTATTGCGTCTTGAAAATGAGCGATATTTTGAAATTTTCTTATTTAAAATAGGGAAGAATGCGACTCACGTTGCTAAAAGAATTTGCAATATTTATGGACATGATGCAGTATCAGGAAGTGTGATACAAAGCTAGTTCAAGCACTTTCGATTTGGAAATTTTGACTTCAAAGATACCAATAATTGGAAAAGTCGACGAAATCGTGGAAAAAATTTAAGTAAGACTGGCACACTGGCAGTCACGATATCGGTAAGGAACTAAACACCGACCACAAGACAGTTTCAAATTATTCGGAGAAGGCTGGAGGATACAAAAAGGATCGATGTTTCGATGCTGCGCGTCATTTAACACTGAAAAATTTAACGAATCGAGTTTCTTTCTTTCGAATGAATGGAATTCTCTCGTCAAAAATTGAAAGAGCTTGATAAGCATTGGGACGTTTCGAGGCATCCTAATCTTGCACCGTAAGACTACCATTTGTTTCGGTCTCTTAATGGTATAAATTTGACCTGTGAGAAATCACCGAGTGCGTCCCTTTTCCTCGAAGACGCGGCAGAACGCGAACCGGGAGAAAACGTTCTTCTCCAAGGGCGAAAGTTTAATTAACAGACGGCTGCTTTTGTTTCGAGTTACTTTCAACTTCACCTTCTCAATGCCTAAGTAGTCTAGGGGCCTGGCGATTTAAACGAAGTGGCGGCTTTCCCGAGAGACGGCGGAAATATTGTTCCGGCTGTTTGCGCCGGGTAGGTTCCGGCCGTGTAGCCGGAAAATTGTAATTGTAATTATAAAACGCGACGAGCTATTTCGAAGACGCGGTTAATTACGGATTCGCCTGGTTTCCCCCTCCCCCTCCACCCATTTATTCAATTCGAGCCTCGTTGAGAATGCGCTGACTCGCGCAGAATTCGAGGTGGCTAAATTATAATTTTAATTATTTACCACCAACGCTCGAAGCTTTCTTTCAAGCAGAATTATCAAGATCCAAATCCAAGAATTATTGTCTCCGAGATTCGAAGATTCTCCAGAAGAGGAAAAAAAGAGGAATTCTTCGACTTCGGGAGATCAAAGCGATTGGCCGAGGAAGCAAGAAGGCTCCGATTGCAAGATAGAAACAAAAGGGGGGGGGGAGGAGGAGGAGGAAGGGCAGGAGCGCAATTTCTGAAAGGTCCGCTTTAATCAGTTCGATTCCAGGCCAGAGCCAGGGCAACATTGGCCCACTTCGCCGGGGTAATAACGTAGCTACATCGGGGCAATAAATGTGCTTGTAGCGCGCGCGAAGCTGCTGCAGGCTTGGCTCGGAAACCACCATCGAGGGGGAGGGGGCGGTGATGGTTGAAGAGGTGAAGTCTCTTCGTCAGCGCGCACCGGTGAACGCGACCTTCTGCCTTCACACTTTCGCGGAAAACTCGACTCGCTGTTTATTCCCTTCTTCCATCTTTCTCTACCCTTGTTTCCATGAAATTCCCTCCCCTTCGAGGCTCTTTCACGGAGGCGGAATCCGGGAAGCTTCTGCGAACAAGCAGGCGCTTCCCGTTCATCTCGATTTAACTTCTTGCGCTGGAACGACGTGCCATGAATGTCGAGAATTTTTTTGTCCCAAATTGTAACATTTTTTTCAGTTTTAAGGATTTTGAAATGTAATCCAGGCAAAACAAATGATAAGTTTATTACTTCTGAATAATTTCTATACCGACGAGTTCAAAAGAAAAAGAAAGCGACGAATTATTGTATACCGGTTCGGTCACTCGTTATGGTCCGCGAACCAGTTGTCAGCGCAAAGGGTTAACCTCTTGCGCTAAAACGACGTGCTACGCACGTTGAGAATTTTTTAGTATATTTAAATATAACCCAAAGGCAAAAATAAGTAATAAATTTATTACTTCTTAATAATTTCTATCTATAGTGATATACCGACGAGTTCAAAAGAAAAAGAAAGCGACGAATTGTTGTATACCGGTTCGGTCACTCGTTATGGTCCGCGAACCAGCTGCCAGCGCAAGGAGTTAAATAAGACACTTCTGGCGTCTGAATTTTTCTGGATCATTAGCAAGTAAAAATATAACAATAGATGCATAGATTTTCGCGACTAAAGGGAAAGTTCTTACACAGGGTGTCCTATAATTGGCAGTACAATTCAATTGAATTAAAGGAAAGAAAAATTTTCCATTAAAATCTTCGTTTTCGAGATGATCGGGCTTGAAAGTTTATCAAGTACACGTGGCAATTTTTAACGAAACACGTTGAAATCATTTATTTCTGCACGCGGAATATCCTCAGAATTAATGAATTTCAAGTATACTTGATAAACACGATTTTCTCGAAAACAGAGGCTTTTTATACTTTCTTTTCGACTTGTAGAATCACCTTGTACCACCAGTTACGGGGCTGAACAAGCGAAATTTATTTCAGTCTCATTTAAGCGTTATTAACGAGTATATTTCGGACATTTCCACTATATTTTATAAATTTGTCGAAGAACTTTCTTGATTTTTCCCGAGGACTTGCACACTTTCAATAGGATCTCTTCAATTTTATTATGCAAAATCTCTAAGAGATCTCTTTTGGATTTTCCTCTTGAAAGAATGAATTGAAATTCAGAACTCTGCAAACTCCTTTGGCGAAATCTTCGTACAAGTGTTTCGATTATCCTCGACGAAGTTCAACGTTTCGGTGAATTTCAATTTCCAATGTTCCACGATGCGCAGAACATTCTCGACTCGCACGGTTGCTACTAATTAATTCGTTCGGAACGAGTAAATAAAAAATCG